GCATACCTGAATAAACATATTGTTTAGTTTGTCTAACTTCTTTTTTTGTAACATTTCACGCTAACTCTGTCAAGACTACTTCGTCCACATGATAGCAAAACCACCTTTCAAAATGCTTACCGAGAATTCCGGCCAGATCAACGAGATCTCGTTCAGGTGCACCATCCAATGCCTCATCAAGATCATCGTCATCGTCCAAATCGAGTTCAATCGGCATCTCCATTCGAGCAACTCTTGACGCTGGATGTTCCTCTGACGTGGTGCCATCTTCAGCAGATTCGCGGCCGCTGTCGCCTTCCCATACTTTGCCTATAAATTCAGAAATCCCGCATTAGAACAGTATTTCTGATGATTTAAGCAATCAAAACCTACCTCGTTTTGTTCCAAGTGAGAACGGCACCACATCCTCCCAGTCCTTTTCGCTCTTTGCTTTCTCTTCCAAATACTTCAAAAGGTGATCTCTTTTGAAGGGTCCTGTTGGAGCTTTTGTCGTCTGATCACGGCAACGCTGCGAAGGAGGCAACATGGTATTCTGAAAGAAAATTTATGGGCAATTTAATTTGAAAACAAGTATCATAATGTGGAAGGCTACTGTCAAAATGGAAATTTGGGATGCAATGACGAATCATCGACAATACGTATATGGAACTGCATTACTCATTCCTGTGTATAATAATTTTCTCTCTCAGTCCAACAAATTCGTTGTCTTCCTTTCTACCAATAGACTATCGCCTGCGCTGCTCAAGGAGATGGATAGACATCAATTACAACAAGGTTTGTCTATTTCAAAATAAGACTAAGACAAAAATTGATCCTCAGAAACGAAAAATTATGCTTCCCTTTCCCGAAAATATTAGGTTGTCGGAAAAGTCTTTGGCCATTTCGATCTGCATGTTGTAAAATCTTCAGGGATAATTTTTGAACATTTATTGTAAAACGTATGTAAACCCTAGTCAATGATCTCTTCATAGCATTTCTGTCGTGGTTTCTCACAGCGATTATAGCTGAGAAAATCGTTTTGACTGAAAGCATGTTTGGCTTCTAAAACCCAGAAAACGCGTCAATGGAAGCGATGCGGCAAGAGCTCACGTCTTGCGATGGAACCCCAGAGTGTCTTTCACGACATGGTAAACATTTGGTTGCCGAAGTCCAGAAACTCGAGAAAAATGCACAAATTCTTTTGGCCTGTTATCCTTGTATGACGGCGGCTAGAGGCCGCTGACGGGTGGAATGTCCGCTTGAGTCCCCCGCCGCGGGGGGGGGGGGGGGGGGGGGGGGGGGGGGGGGGGGGGGGGGGGGGGGGGGGGGGGGGGGGGGGGGGGGGGGGGGGGGGGGGGGGGGATTCTCTGCGATCAGAGACGATCTCTCGCGCGGACATTCACACTCGCCATGCCGTGCCGTCTGTGCTCGCGCGCGGATGTTCACTCTCGGCACTACTCTCGCATGGTAGAGAGCTATGGTCGAGGATTTCCTCGACCGTTATTCACCCTGGTCTGGAAACAGTCGCCGGAGCAATGCACGAGAGCTGACGCAGCTTCTCCAAAGTTTTCAGAATAGCTGTTCCTCAATATCTACTCAAAAAGGCGAGAAATATGGCAAAAGGAGATTTCGTGACTTGGTGACAACCGCCGTCAGAGGCCTTCAGATTTTGCATGAACATTTTGATTTACCGTCTGTCTCTTGTTTGACCCGACTACTTTGTTGGTGGTAATCAGAAGTGGGTTCCTCACGTAAACTGCAGTCGGAAGCGCCAGTGGCCCAGACGCGTAGAACCAAAGATTCCAGCGCCGATTCCAGCACTGCAACCTGGGAGGTAACTTTCAGAATTGGTGAAGCTCCAAGCGATTCGTTCACTGACAGCTCCTACCAAAGAACTGCACTGCTATTGTTGAACCATAATATGGGCAAATGGATGGGTTCGCCGGCACTATGCTTTAAAACCATGGAAAAGTTTACTTTACCAGGCAACGCTCGTCAACGAATTTGGAAGAAGGTTCAGCAAAAGTCTCCAAGCCCGTTATGGGACGTTCTGTCCCACCTGTTGCGTTCAGCAGACCCGGCACTAACAGACCACCATCTGCTTCCATTGCTGTCAAATCAAATAAAAGAGGGAGAGCTTAATGATCCGAACCTACTCGAAGACTTCTTCAAGTTTTTGCTTCAAAAGCTCAGTATTTCCAGACAAACGCCATCCACGAGTTGTCTGCTAATATGTTGGCAATCAAGCTGGGGCATATGTTTATATTATAAATTGCTCACTGTCTAAAGAAGAATAAGGAATTAGAAAAAAAAATCGAAAAATGGCCAAAACTTTTCCGACAAGAATGACCTAAATAAAGGGCGAAGGCGCTTTGCAAGTAATCTAATGGTTCACGTTCTCTCTCGATTCCACTTCTCTGTAACCAAAACCTTCACAACAATCATTTGCTGTTAGCTAACCGAGAGCTACGCAGCATAGTAAAGCACTAACTATGACCAGAACGGCAACACAGTAATTCGGGGACAGTCTGAAGCAGAACACTAAATCACGAGGTGCATTGCAGGTGACACCACGTCAAACCCTACCAATAAAAAAAACTTGATATTAATGAGGAATACGTGAAGCACAATTCCTTGAGTACCAAAGGAGGAAAAGCGGCCCGAATGATCGTAAACTCCAGGTCTGTTCTACGATAACTCCTTTGCTAAAACAGTTGGCGATGCGCTCTTCTACTACGTGGTACCAGTTCGGAGTAATTTAGCTTCTTTTCCCCAATTGCTTCCCGAAAACAAATTAGTATGT